CTCTATAAGCTCATTATATCACTAATGCTTTGAACATTTTTCTTATCAATTTTAAATGAACTTTATGCTTATTTATACAAAAACATATTTCTCATATAACAGGTCATTAGGTTGATTGATTTTACAACATGACAACCTTTGTTAGGTTATTTAATATGAAATTTTGTATGGGACACCTAGTGATGATTGTTAAAACATTGGTTCCTGAATGATCAGTAAAGTTAAGCAACATCGAGCCTGGTCAGCACCTAGATTGGTGACCATTTAAGAATACCAGGTGCTCCAAGCTTGGATATGCAGGTAGTGTAATGAATAATGACTTGGAATTGTTTAACTGGAGAGTTGAGTTCCAATTCCCGTTGGGTTCATTATATTTACTTATGTGCAAATACCCTTAAGAAAGGTATGAATCCACCTCTTCTACCCTCAGCTATTGGTTAATTAGTAAGACTTGTATCACTAAACTATTATTATCTCCTCCGAATCTTCATAATCTAAAAATATTTTCTGGATTTAAATAAGCTGCAAACGGTTGATAAGCTGGACATGGATCACTCAATAGAAAAAAAAATAATGAGGATTAATCTCACTACTCAGTCAACCAGACTAGCCTTGCTAAACAGTGCCTCATGCTTAAGCACCTATTTATAACCAGTAGATGTTACAATTAATAATAAAGTTGGATATTAAAATGAAAAATCAGTAGGATGCCTCAGTCATATAGTAGCATAGTGTACACCTTCCTACTTCTATTATTAATTTACTACTACAAAGTAGAATTGTTATTCTTTGATAGCTGTGTGAATGTTCTCAAAAAATACCCACAAAACACTGTGATCACAACTTCTATTTATACCAATGGCTTTCAGACAGTCGTTAGTTTACTTAATGATTTATTTGAGCCAACTATTCAAAAAATTAAAAAAATAATTCAGAAGATGATTACATAATTATTCTCAGGAGTCATGTATCAATTATTTTTACTTAAACGCAAGCTAGAAATTTTGAATTTCTTTTGTCATTATATTCTAGATCTGGCATAAGATATGACACATCATAAAGTGGGCAACACTACTAAAAAGATTCAAAATAATATTTTGGTGAAGATGTCTCAGCCATTTTCACTACAGAAGACCATACACATAAGCATCTGCCTTAGAAATGGAGAAAGTTGTTTTTTCCTTTGGAGAAAAAATTTTCCTCTAAATTAAAAAAAAATGAAGTCTTAGTATATTACCACTGATGAGCAACATATGTTACTGTGCATGATGTTTTTAACTTATTCATTTGAAAATACAAAAATATTTTTTTTTAACTATAAAATATATATTTCTTCTTTCAAGAAAAAAATATTATGAACATTTCCAGTTTCTAAGGCAAAATATGTTTACATATATGATCTTCCCTCATGAAAATCAGCAATGGTTTAAAATTCTGAAAAGATGGCAAAATTCAAGAAACATTGTACTAAATCATTAAGTGTATGGTTATGTCTGAGAGAGTGTGGATGGACAAGTGAAAATGAAATAAAACAAATAAAATTTTAATAAATGTTATTTTTCTCATGAAATTAAGCATGCCAATCAGAAAGCTAAATATGCTACAAGAGGTTAGCAGGCCGCAATTTGCTCATGCCTGTTCTAGAGTTAGCCAAGTAAATCCACTGAATAGGATAATTACAGAAAAACAGAGAGGATTTAATAATTAGTACAAACAAAAAAAATGTTGATTTTAAAAAAAAATGTGTTGTACACTTATTCAGGTGAATTTTGAGTTTATATCATATTTTTCTGTTTAATTGGGTAAGATTTAGCAAACAGGTCTTGTGGGGTAAGACCCACTTGACTCTAATAAAACCATGAATATTCTTGAAAATAAATTCAGGGGCAACAATTTAATAATAAATTTAAAAACTGCTTAATCTTCAACTGAAAGGAAGCTGAAACCAAATATATTAAATCTTTTATCAGCAAATTCTAATATCAATGGTTTTACTAATGCACTGAATAAAGTTGCTTATAATAATAATATAACTAAAATAATATGTGAAAATTATGAAAACTTAACATGTTTTTAGGTTAGCAGAACTTAAATGCAAACTAGAAATTTTTTAGAATTTGTAAAAATTTATTAAACATCTAGCCTTGATGAATGTGTTGTCATGAAACTCTTGAGTTGATCTAACAGATAAGTCACTTGAACATTTCTTGATTTATTGAATAAACTTATTTATGTTTAGACACAATTAGGTAAATGTAGAGTTAAGGACAAATTTGCATGTGTATAAAGTTTAAGAGTACATTAGGTTTAGTATAAGGTTAATGGAAGATGTAATTTAACATGTAGATTTACAGAGTCAAAAATAGGAGGAAAAACATAAGAAATTTCTTGCATATAGTAGAATAGGTATGAACATTAAAACAGCAAAAAGTAATTAACCTTGTTTTAAAAAAAGATTTTTACTGGATCAAAACCTGATGTGTTCCTTTCAAAAATGGATAGATTAGGAAATATTAAAAAAAAAAGTTTATCTTATTGTGTTATTTAGGGTTGGAAGTATGATGTTTTAACAAATGTTTTTGGTAAAATAACACAACATATAATATTGTTCTTGTTTCTGGTTGACATTGTAGGCTTTCTGATCTTACAACATGCAAAAAGATTAGATCTAATAGTGTTTGACATTCTGAAGTGAATCATTGTTATTACTTTTGACTAATTATTCCTTTTTTTTTTTTTTTTGATGCAACTCAGATCATCATCTAATAGTTACTAGTGTAAAATATAAAATAGCAGCAAATGATGTTTGGGCATGTAGAGAATATAGTTATAAAAATTATAAATTTGAAAGACTCTGCTGATTAGTTTTCATAACATAATCTTTAATGCACTGTCACAGAAAGACAGGCTCTTAAAGATAAAGAATATGAGTTCAAACCTCACTACAAGTTTATACTTTATTTCCAATTCATGCTGAGTACTTTATGACCATAGAACATTTATCTGGGAGTTGTAATAAAAAGCAACAGAAATAAGATGGAAGAACTAATAGTTAGAAATAAATAATAATGCAAAAGAAATTATTAAAAATCAATAAATTATGATGATTTTGTAAATTAAAACTGAATCCTTAAAGTTAGTATAAAAGCATGTTTTATAGTAAGCATTTATTTCTGAATTTTAGCAAACATTATTGGTTTATTTTACTATTTTGTAAATTATTTTTTAATCATTTCACCCCAAGCAAGGCCATAATGCCACTAAGACAAAAAGGTTTACAAGGAGTGAAAGAGAATGAGAAGACTTTAGTGAGCAGAAAGGACAATAAAAGAACAGGATTCTGGAAAACAGATGGCAATTGGTATTGCATTTTTGAAGTTTGTAAATGGCAAGGAAGCAAGAAACTGAAAGAAGTGCAAGAAAAGAAACTATTAGAATAGAACATATAGTTGCATCTAGCTAGTTCAACATTAAAACAGTGAGACCTAGTTTCCAATTTAGTAGTACACTTAAATTCATGCAGTTGAGATACCAAGGTGGAAACCACATCAGAACAATTGCTATGAAAATACTTGTAGAAAAAACAGCTGGAAGCCCTGTCATGGCAATGGGAAAGTGACTGAAGTCAAGATAAAAGGTCAGGACTGATTACATTATAGACCCTTCTTTGGATTTTTTCAAGAATCTCAAAATATATAGCTGGAGCACCAGACCAGATATGGCAGCAAAATTCAATGTATGGATGAATGGTAAATTTATAAATGTGCAAGATGAATTCTGACAAGAAAAATTATCTGGTATGACATAGTGAACCAACTTTTCTTGAAGTAGACCTTACAATTGATTAAATATAATCACTCCACTTTGTGTCAGTGGAAAACATGAGCCTAGGAAGGTGCATAGAGTTGCTCTCCTGGAGGTTAGTATCAGCCATGCTGATAGAAGGCAGAAAAGGTTCTCTGTGGGGATTAAAAGATAGCAGTTACATTTTAGAAGCGTTAAAATTTACAAGTCATTTCTTGCACTTATTGGAGGTCATTTTTTGAGAGCAGATGCTAGTTTTACTTTGTTGGACCTGTCAGGTTTGCTACTAAGATAGGAGTAAATAGTTCAACATAAATACCTAGTTGAGAACTAATGACATTGGGGTTATTAACGAAGATAAGAAACAACATAAGTCCAAGGATAGAGCCCTGGGATACCTACATTAATGTGAAATGATCTAGAAGCATGTCTATTTCAAATAACATTCATTGAATGATATTAGTTTTTTTGAAAGTGAAGGGAACTTTGAATTTCTGTCACTTTGCTTTCCTTAGCATGTACAATTAAAAGTGAAAAAATTTCAATCAATCTATTGAAACAATTGGCTATAAAGAAGATATTATCATATTGATTCACACTTTTTTTTTTAATTTTATGTGTTTAATTATATTGACAACATTTTCATGAGTTCTGATCATGTTTTAAAGCAAGAAGATTAATTTCTGGAAATTTGAGAGAAAAAAAAGTTAGCTGAATATTAATATTAGTTAAATATTTTAAGACTATCCAGAAGTCAGTCAAGAATGTATATAGCTATTTTAGATATTTCAAGAACTACTTGTGTAGCCTTCACAAAACTAAGCATCCAATCAGAAGAGACCTTTATATACATGAACAAACCTTCTCCTGTGGGATTACTCACTTGTTGATAATGAAATGTCATTCAATGAGTTTTATTGATTGATTTGTTTTCTTCAGCTTATGAACCTTTTGCAGGTTATTTAAAGCCAGAAAATATTTTTAGATTGTATGAATTTATTTCGGTTGGAAACAATATTTATTTAGTGATATAAGTATTACCAATTAACCCATAGATGGGAGGGAAGAGGTGGATTCATACTTTTTCCAAGGGTATTTTCACCTAAGTGAATATAATGAATTTAGTGGGAATTGGAACTCGGCTCTCCAATTAACAATTCCGAGCCATTATCTATTACACCACCTGCACATCCAAGCTTACAGCACCTAGTATTCCCAAGTGGTTGCTCATCTAGGTACTGATCAGGCTTGACATAGCTTAACTTTGGTGATTGTATAGGAACCAGTTCTTCAACATGATACAGACATAAGCCTTCAATGAGTGTGTGGTGTTATCATCACATTCAAAATGACGAAGTAAGTAGATTTTTCACATTCTATGCAGGTGTTTTGTGGAAAAAATACACCACCAAATCTATTAGTCTTTCTACAATGCAGATTGAGCATCCCATGATTTTTTGCTTCTTCCAGAGTTTAAAATCACTGTTGAAACTCAATGAGATTGTGGAAGATTGGGGAGGTGAAGATTAGGCCTTGTCAAAATATTCAACATGTCCAAAAAGAAAAAGGAAAAGAAGAAAGCAGATAAAGTGCAAATACAACATTTTATACTCATGAATTGTTGAAGTGGTTTTACAAAGATTGTTTTGAGTCAAGTTTCTCCTTTCGAAGACAAAGTTTTCATGCAACTGGAAATAGACTAGGTAAGGAAATTTTTTTATGTTCTAATAATGTATTCGTTACAGTCGGTTTTGTTCCTTTTATCAAATCTTAATTTATATAGATTTTAAAAGTTTTTCTTCACAAACGCTACAAGGTTAGAAATATAACAAGACAGTAATGATAATTACAAAAGAGGAATTTGCACACTATCTTCAAAAATGGAAGAAAAACTGAAATAAGTGTGTAAGGTTCCAAGAATACTAAGGCAGCATTGCCTTAGACTATTTTTTTTAGTAATAGTTGGATACTTTCCAGAAATATCTTGTAGAGCCATTAACAAATATACACAGATATTTTCTACAAGATAATTTAGGTAATTATTTTGTCAATACTACAAAAAGATAATTATTATGTAAACAATAAAAAGAGCTGGGTTGTTTAATATTTATAGCTATTGGCTACTGACATCAAAGGACAATTGGCAGTTTTCTGTGACTGTAAAATATGTTCTGTGCAGTTTCAAATAAATACAGAATAAACTAATTTCAGTGATTTTGTTAATGAACTGCCTTCTCTATTTTCTTAATACTTTGTCCTGAAAAATTACAAATAGTGCTGCAGCTAGTAACTAATTATACTGACAAAAAAATCAACTAATGTTTAAATTTAAATACATTTCACAACAGATCTGGACTTGATATAAAACTAAATACTCACTGAAAAGGATTTCCAAGCATAGAAGAAACTGAATTTGCTGAAATATAAACATACATATAAATCTGAATTAATGTTATGATACATACATTATTCTTGTATTTGAATTATTATTTTCCATCATTACTTTTGTTCTAAAAAGATTATACCCACTTATTTAAGTCCCACAGATTCCATTGAGGAACATAGAATAATGGCTCTCAATATGCTAGGCATTGCTGCTACAGTTTCTGTAGCATGTAGTTTTTATGGAATGAAGCTGTTAGCACCATACCCAACCAGTTTTTAATTCAGAATTGTTCTTTTCCTAGACTGGCTGCTAACCAAGGCTAAAGAGCCCAGTCTTGTCCAGCTATTGAACCCATAGCTATGGTGAGAAGGGGTGGATTCATACCTTTTGCAACAGTATTTGCATGAAAGTGAATATAATGAAATTGACTGGAATTCGGTTTGTTAGTTTCTTGTTAATCATGAAACTACCTGCACATCCACAATGAAAAAAAAGATTACATTAACCAATTGAATGTGGTTAACAGGAATTACATTTCTATAGCTCAAATGAGAATGATAGCAATGTCAGCTGTAGTTAATTGGTTAAAATTGAAAGTAACCTGAAATTTTTTTTTTTTAGGCTTTTCACCCCAAGCAAGGCAGGAGTGTCACTAGCACACAAGGGGTTACAGAGTGGGAGCAAGAGTAAAGAGGTGTGATAAAGGAAAGGATAAAGAGGACAGGGGAATAGATCAAAACATTTGGATATGTCGATTGACATTGCATTTGAATAGTTGGAGATTATAGCTATCAGGGAAGCAAGTAAGAGGAAGGGAGTTCCCCAGATGGGAAATGCGAGACATGAAGCTATTGGAGTAGAAGAGACGGCTACATTTAACCAATTTTGACAGTGAAAGGGTGGGACTGAGATGCCAACCTAGTAGCACGTTTAAATTCATGCAGTTTGGGAACTAGTGAAAGTAGCTCATCGAAGCAGTTACCATGAAAGTATTTGTAGGAAAGACAGTGGGAGCCAACCACATTGCATATCTGTCTCTGGATTTTGTCGAGGACCTTAAGATGAACAGCGAGGACTCCAGACCATATATGACAGCAGTATACCATGCAAGAGTGAATGGTTGATTTATAGATTTGAAGGATCAGCTCATTTTGGTATTGAAACATTGAAATATTAACAAAATAAATTTTTCTATTTTCTTTTTTTTTTTTTAGTTAATCAAATATTACCTTACAAGTATTTTTCAAAGTTAATTTCATTTTTTTATTTTTTAAAAATCACATTTAGTTAATAAAAGCAAATAAATTTTTTGTAAGCAAATTTTAAGGTAACAAATAGTTTCATTATTATTATAAGTAAGCTCCAAAATATGAGAGACACCTCAAGACAATCGGGGGCAAAATAAATTTTACGTATGTACCAAGAGAAAAAAATAGTGTGTCAAAAAAGGTGTTTTTTTTCTTGACGCCACTATTACTGTATACTCTCTTGAATTAAAGGAGTCGCTTATTTTTAATTACATGGTTGGTAAAATTTAAAACCCTGTAGCCTATCTATTGCATAGAAGTGGGTACAGTTAAATATGAAAAATTCTCCAGAGTTTTTTTCTCCATTTGTTTTTAAAATCTATATCATAAAAGAACAGCTGATTCTCTGTCCATTACACATTGTCTGCATGTGACTTTTCATATGCTTATGTAATATATATGCATGAGTGACTTACATGGGCTTCTATCATTTAATGCACACACAGTTTGACTAAATTTAAGGCATTAGGATAATACACTCTCCTGCCACTCTATCTAAACAACCCCACCCTGGGATGAATAATAAAATTATAAAGCTGGAGACAAGAAAAAAAGAAAAGAAAATTTATCAACAGCTTCATCTCTGTTAGACTGGTTTTTTGACTTCCACATGTAGTAATCCCCTTTTGTCTTAGTGGCTTTAGTACCTTTCTTGGGGTGATCCCAATTTTTAAAAAAATGTGTGTATGGCTGTGAAATAAAATAATAAATAAATAAAAATAATCAAGTTTTCTTTCTCTTGAAGACAGTGAGATAGCTTTAGTATCTTGTTGATAATTATTTCACTGTTTCTATGTTTATTCATATTTATCATATATCTGTTTCTTGGTACCTAGAACCTTACAGCATAGCAATGGCAACAAAGTAAATGTCCAGTTCATTACTTATGATAATGAAGTGAGTTTAGGTTACTTTTTTTTACTTTAATAGCCACAAAAACTGAATTCAGGTGAATTCGTGAAAAATCTGTTAATTTATTAAAAAACCCTAAAAAATAAATCAAATAATTATAAGATTCTATTGAACTTTTCGAAAATTATTCAGTGATAAATTGAATTATTTTTTTTTTTATTTTATAGAAATATTTTGAGGTCTAAATAATATATGTGCAAGCAAAGCTAATATCCTTTTCTGTCTGGCAACAACCTGCGATTAACCGGAAAAGAAAAGACAAGCCGAAATGTGCAGCTCTTTGAAGTTATTTTTAAATGGCTTCGGTATTTAAACTGAATATATTTTCTACTATTTTTAAATAGGCAATAATTTTCTACTATTTTTAAATCAACAAATAATTCAGATTTTAAATTTGATCATCTTCCCGTTAACGAAGAGACAGGTACCGAACAAGTAACCAAAGTGAATGACTAATTATTAATTAGTGACAGGGTTGTGTTTAAAACACTATGACTCAAAAAAAGAAACATACCTTTTTTTTTTAGTTTTTTTTTAATTATTCCCTGTCCAATTTTGACATAGTACAAGTTTCGGTCTTAAACTTTAATTAAATAGACAATTATGTTTTTAAAATACTTTTCTCACAAAATAAAATATACCTAAAAAAAAAAAAAAAAAAAAGAGCCTATGAGTTTGTTTCAACAAGAAAAGAAAAGTCAATTTTTTTTTTCTCGGTGAACGAATCCAGACAAATGTGCAAATATTTATTTAGAGATTACAGATTCAAAACTTAATTTGTTGTTTTTTTTTATAATTTTATTATAAAAAAACAACAAATGTAAAAAAAAAAATAAATAAAAAAGTGTTTTTTTATTTTCTATTTTTTACCATTGTCAAATTTAAAAAAAAAAAAAAATGAAATAAAAACTCTTTATTATTTTTCAATTTAATTTTCTTCAATAATCAAAATTTTATTTTTATTTTTCTATAAAACTAAATTAAATACCACCGTAGCAAAAAAAAGCAACTTAATTTTCAAAAAAGTGAATGAAAGAAAAAGTTTTACTGCTTGACTCAGTCAAACAAAAAAGTCAAAACTAAAAAAAAAAAAGTATTTTTTTAGCTAATTAATAATTTAAATTTGCATAATACGGACGAATGTAAAAGCCAAGTAGTTTTGAATATGCTACGTTATTAAGTTCTTACCCAAAGCAGTAGCGATCTCGGCCGTGGATAAATGAGTTTGTTCTAATTTAAACATTTTGTAGACGTAGCATAAATATATAACTTCTTTCATTTAACAAAATCAGCCACCATCTTAGTCTAGTTGTAAACAACCAGAGTTACTATGTTACCTTCGGTAATTTCCGGACTATTTCGGCTTTTCCGGAAACAGGAGCGAAACAATTGTGCACATGATCCCCCCACCCCCAGAGATTGATGTTTCACACATTTCCTTCACTTACTTGTTGCTATGATTGGTGCCATAGTTGTAAAATACAGAAAGATATTGTTTAAAAACTTTTTTTAAGTTTGAGGTTATTGCTAATATACATTTAAGTGAAGCGATTCGATTTATTTGTAAAATCATCATCATAAAGAAAGATTAATTACTTACTTGTTAAAAAGAAACAAAGAAATACCTGCTTTTCGTGCATCGTTTCAGTCATTCGAGTTCCTGTCTTTTTTACACATACATATTTCTAAAAAAAGAGTAAAATTAGCAATCAAAGTAAGCAGGTCATTTACACTCAGGAATATAACACTCCACTGCACAGTTTTCCTAGTCATATGCTTGTGAAAGAAAAATTATAACACAAATACTTAGTAATTAAAAACTATTATAATTAAAAGTATTTTGAGAAGTTCATTATAAAATAATTTTTAAAAAGACAAAGTTATACTTTTGAACAAGTACGTCAATAAGACCGTAGCCTGATGATAAAAAAAATTATTTGACACAACAAATGCTTATTTTTTTAACATAATCTCCTTCCTTAGCAATGTCCTCAATTCAATGGTGAATATTAATCATACTAATTGAACATTATACAATAAATTTTTCAGATAAAAAAATCAGGTAACTAGTACTTATCAGGCTACAAAATTATTGATCTCACCAAATATACCGTAAATGTACCGTAATTAGGTACTGAAGCAATGAAATATTTTACAAGTTACAACTATTAACTCTGGTTTTAACTAACATCAGCTGTCAATCTAATTTTTTCTTTGATTTAAAATATAAAGGCTCATTTTTTTATTCATTTTATTTGATGCTTCTTTAAAATTTGAATAGTTTCCCTTTTTTTTAAAAGGAGTTAAAACCTTATATCTGTCGTTGTAATCTTATCCCGTATAATCCCAGCTGATATAGCTCTCCTTTTAGAAATATGGTTTTACTATTTGAGTTACTTTATTCTGGGGTGAATTTCAACTACAAATTCTTCTGACTAAAAATGATAAATATAAATTATGCATTAATTCCTGACTACAGGGTGTTGCAGTAAAATCCGACACTTGACAAAAGAAAACAAAATAGGCAATAAAAATAAAAATTGTATATGCAAAGACTCAACAGTTTATTTAGCAAATGTTAGAGTTACATACTACATTATTTTTCAATGTAACCGCCGTCAGCGGCAGGAACCATCTCAAGGCAGACACAAAATGAGTTACACGCTTTGGAGACCATATCCTTGTCCATAGTGGCGAACACCTCCATGATGGCAGCCTTCAGAGAGTCGACTGTTTTGTGAGTGTGCTTGTTGGTCTTGGCCTCGATCACACCCCAGAAGAAATAGTCAAGGGGGTTGCAGTTAGGTGAGGAGAGCTGCCACAAATCTGGCAACCAGTGGTGGCGAACATTGTTGAGCAGCCATGCTTGGGTTGTCTTTGTCTTGTGTGCAGGATTGGAGTCCTGCTGGAAGACGTAAGGGAGTCTGGCAGCGATCTCGTCCATCCAGGGCTTTACCACACTCCTCAGCACCTCCTGGTATATCTCAGTGGTGACTCTCAGGCTCTTTTGAAAGAAAAACGGAGACAGGACATCCCCCTCACTGGAGATGACGCCAAGGACCATGACAGAGGAGGGAGATTTTGTATGCTTCACGACGGGAACCTCCTCGATATCTTTGCAGATCTACCTATTGTTCTGCATGTTGCTCGTCTCGTCCTAGATGAAATTCTTTTCATCAGAGAAGAACCTCAGCATCACGGCGGACCCATGCTTGAGCTCGTTCAGCAAAGCTGCCACCTTGACCTCCCTCGACTCATTGGAGGCATTTGTGATGAGCATGCGGTGAGACTTGCAGTCAGAGGAGTAACCAATGTCCTTCTTGATTGTTTGGCAGATCATTGACTTGTGACAGCCCATGTCAGCGGTGATCTTGGTGTAGCTCTGGCTTCCATCATTGTCGACTGTCTCCATGATGGTGGCGACAAACTCGTTGGTCCTAACAGCTGAAGAATGAACTTTGTGGGACTTTAGTTTAGTTTGACAGTAAACTCGTCTTTGTTCTCACATGCCTTCCACTTCCTCCAAATGTGCATGATCATGGTCCTCTTGAACCCAAACCAGACCATCACATCCGCATGCTTCTTCCCGATGCTACTACCGCTGCTCTGCACTCATATTCCATCCTGGAAAAGGGGAGAGAGAAAAACATTAGTTAGTTGTCAAACTGTCAGGTATCTGCATATACAACTTTTGTTTTTATTGCCTATTTCGTTTTCTTTTTGTCAAGTGTTGTATTTTCCTGTAATACACTGTATTGACAATACTTTTCTGCTTCATTTTCTATGTACAATATCTGAAGTGAGATTATTGCTTTATTTTTTCCTGTGTATGTGTAGGTAGTATAATGGATGCCATCCACACAAAATGGGAAAATGGAGAGGAATGTTCAAATTCCAATCTGATTCATTAAATTCACTTATGTGCAAATACACTTGGGAAAACTACAAATCTCCTTCCCTAGCTATCAGTTAAATAGTAGGACTTTTATCTTGAAAAAATTGTTAATGCCATATTTATTTGCAAGAAAAAATAATTATTCTTACAATCCAAAACATGTTTTGACTTTAAATAACCCACAAATGGTTGATAAACCATAAAAAACAAATCAGTCATTTTTCTTTAGCTGTTGGAATTTACTATCATTATATATATATATATATATATATATATATATATATATATATATATGTATGAGTTAACAATATATGTTTTTCAAGAACAATATTGAGGGAAAATGTATGACAAAGTGGAAAAACATTATTAATAAAAAAGAAAAAGCCAACACTCATTAACATCAACTATGAACACAGCCACAATGAGCTGACCATGTTTGGAAAATAAAACATTCCTATGGCTAGATACATACATAAGAATTACATACATTCAATTAAAATTAAAAATAAAATCATCCTTGATAACGGCTAAAAGTATAGCCAAAAGGGATCAGACATACAGAACATTTGTTCAATTTCTATTTATGTCCAGAAAAGAAGAATATTATAAGAAAACAAGAAAAATTAAATAGAAACCATAACCACAGTAACTTTTCAGTTATTTTAATGAAAGTTGTATAAAAGAGGGATTGCTGCCCAAATAAACAATTATATTTATATGTGTGTGTGAGTGTGTGTGTAGTGTTAATTTGAAAATCTTTTTGTGGCCAAAATTGCTGGTTTTTCAGTGGTTTGCTGATAAGGAGGCATTTAAAGCAAGCAGGCTTTGTGGTAGAGTACTCAGTACTGAAGATAGAGATATAGTGTTAATAGAATTAATATGAATTACAAAGAATCGAAAAATAGCAGTTTAACTCTGTTCCAACAAGTGGTTACATCTACATAGCCATGGAACCTTGAAGTAAACATGAGTAAAGTGAAAATACTTTTTCATATGAATTCTATATATATGTATGTATGACAAAGTGGAAAAAGTTTTCTCATGACACGTTTCGTTGTTTAGTATTTCATCGGACTAAATTTGTTATGTTGATGTGGTTACACATGTTCACAAATGAGGGATGCTGGGAATTAAAATTTTTTTATTTTTAATCTAGCTTATTTCATTTAGATCCTTTTTCTTTTTCTTTCCATCACTTTTGCTAGTAGATAATAGATGTTCTGTGATGTTCTGCCAGGAATGGTGAAATGTAAGAGCTGGGGGGCAAATTTACTATAGATGACTTTGTGATGAAGGCACTCTCTAGGCATTTTCATATCTGCTATGTCAGATAAACTAAGGGAAACCAAATTCAAAAACTAATGGAAATCAACATCACTGACAAACTCATGGCCAGTCTAGATATAAATCCCTTTATACCAATGTCCCAGTTGAAAGATACCTAAATCTCCTAAAAAAGAATCTATCACAATCAAAAACAAATCTTTCCCTACTAACTGCTAAAATAATAAAAATCTGCTGTCTCATCACCAATCAATGCTATTTCACATTTAATAATGATTTTTACAAATAAAAATTTGGATTAGCAAGGGTATCACCTCTCAGTGGAGTGATGGCACGTATCTTCTTAAAATTTCTCGAATCTGTTCCTTTCGAAAATATTTTACCCAAACAATCAACATACTTCCAATATATTGATGATGCTCTATTAATATATCCTTGTCAGTGCTGGGGAGAGTTTCATTCAGGGAGGTTGACCAACCCAATCCCATTTATAGAGGTTCAACGGGGATATTTTGGCCGAGTCTATGGGCTTGGAAGACCCATGTAAAACTTTTCAGCTATATGGTTCAGGCAGAGAGGAACCCGAATGAGGCTATGCCGAAGGGCAGAATCTCGTTCAGGGAGGCAGACCAACTTGATCCCATTTATGCGGGTTCTACAGGGAATTTTTGCCCGAACCTACGGGTTTGGGTATCCCACGTTAAATTCGGTCTTCATGTCACATCCGACAGCGTGGGGCATTAGCAAATATTCTATCTGAAATCTTTTCAGCTATACGGTCGATCTCTCTGTCTTCGGACAGAGAGGAACCCAATGAGGCTATGCTGAAGGGCAGAGTCTCGTTCGGGGAGACAGACCAACCCGATCCCATTTATGCAGGTTCTATGGGGAATTTTTGGCTGAGCCTAAGGGTTGGATGACCCACATTAAACTCGGCCTTGGGCCACATCTACCCTTGGGCCACATCTACCCTTGGGCCACATCTACCCTTGGGGGTGGTGGGCTTTGGCTAGTAAATACTGACTAGCTGGGATCTGTTCCAGCTGTGCTGTCAAACTCTCTGCCTTTAGGCAGAGTGGAACCTGGACGAGGCTATGCCAAAGGGCAGAGTCTCGTCCGGGGAGGTAGACAGACCCGAACCTGTTTATGCGGGTTCTACAGGGAATATTTTGCCGAGCCTATGGGCTTAGATGACCCAGGTTAAACTAGACCTTGTGCCACATCTACCCACATGGGGTAGGGGGGCTAATAAATATTGACTAGCTGGGATCTGTTGAGTACAACTCAGACTTATACGAGAACTACCAACCTGCCAATAGTAGCACTCACTACTGGATTGACTTGCGACAACCTTGTGTATAACTGTTACCTTTATTCTTATTGTACTGGTTTTTTTACAATAAACCTTTACTTATTTTATCCACCTTGTTTTTCAAGTATATATTCCTATTAGCACAGAATATAACATAAATTGATAAATTGTGTTGAAGCAATACAAAATTCATGCTCCACATTTTCATTTCTGTAGAAATTCAATCATATGTCAAGTGAAGAAATTCATAATGACACAAAAACATTTGTTGATAAATATCCGAAGGATATTTGCATGCAACTGGGAGACAAAATTGTGCATTTAAAGAAAATATTTCATGACACAATTTTGAATTGTATTGGAATGGATCCCATTGAGAGTATTCCAAAGCCAATTGAATTGTTGAATAGGATCAATGCATTAGGTTTGTTGGGAATTTTCTCTAAAATTTTCATTTCTCTCTGAATCTTCTGCATAGCACTTTTTAAAACAAATAAAGAACTATCAATGCACAACAATGCTTCAAGACTGCCTTACCAACTTGGCAACCCTTGTGATTGAGTGTGATTTGGCACAAGAATTAGACTTTGAGGAACTCATTGCTTCAATGATAGTTCAAAATGCACTTTTAAGCTGCTTTGGAACTACTTTTAGTCTTTGTATTTTTTTCAATAAAATACTGATTCGTAATTTTGCTCTCTACTTATACAGCTTATAATTTTATCCCCCACCATAAAGGAATTTTCTTGAGGCTCCTTGGGTTTCGAGGCTCAACACATTTGTACTGGTTGCCCCCCCCCCCCCTGTCAGTCACCACTGATCCTCATGATACTGATTTACCTGACTTAGTACATAAACTAATAATTAATAATACTTACCTTATTTTTAGCCTTTCTTTACATGTGGATAAGGCTATTATATTTGGATTATCAACAAGTATGTTACAGATGAAATTTGATAGGTCTTCATATGTATTTAAATAAGAACTAATTGAGCTATGGTCAGAGAGATGTAACATGAGTCTTCTTGTTAGGCATGTTGTAGTATATCTAATATAATTATTTATGAATTTGGTTTGATCAGGAATACAGTTCCCTAAGGGACATGTGAATTCGTAAATAATATTGGTTCTCTGTAAGTTAGATCTTGCATGTGAGTTAATGTTGTTGACAATGAGGTAAGCAGTTTTAAAATTTTTATAATAAATAATTAATTTAATTTTCTTGTTTTTGTTGGCTGGAGTTGTATATTTCTTTATGATGTTTCTAGGGAAAGATTCATTCTGCTTATAGTTACTATGCATTTGGTTTTTATAGAAAATGTTAAGTTATTGTTTTTATCTGTATGTTCAATGTTGCTCTTGGTTATCTTAGAAAGAAAATGTCTAATTTGGTGATCTATGAGACATTTGGGAAAACTGTTATTGACTAGCATTTGTTTCAATTAGGTCTCATTTAAATATATATGGAGACTACCAAACTTCATCTGTAACTTACTCATTGATAAAACAAAGCCTCATCAACATGTAAAAAAAAGGCTAAAAATAGTGTAAGCATTATGAATAAATAAGAAAAACCTAACACTCATTAACATCAACTGTGAACACAGCCACAATGTGTTGACCATGTTTGGAAAATAAAACATTCCTATAACTCTAGATACATATATAAAAAATCTATACATTCAGTTAAAAGTAAAAATAAAATCATCCTTGACAATGGCTAAAATGCTTGAACAAATATATATATATATATATATATATATATATATATATATATATATATATATATATTTTAGTTGGATTGCTGTGAGGTTGTGACCCTGGGTTTCACACAATTTGTGATCGTCAGACCTGATGATCATAAATAGTGTAAAATACAGAGTCACAAATTCACATCAATCCAACTAAATATATTAGCTC